CATAAAACGTTTGCCTTTTCATATTTTTCATGTTTTTCCTTAACCTTCAATTAAATTATTTTTATTTGATGTAGTTTGGGTAAAAAAAAGTATAGAAATTTACTTGACTGACCTCGTGAAATGCTAAAAATGCGAATTTGTTGAATTTAGGCGTGTTGTCCTTGTTCGTTTTCAAAAGAAAGTAATTGGCCTTATCCAATATGAAATTATTATGCACAGACTAAAATATTTCATGTTTAAATGTAATAAAATTAAAAACTCAACTAATTATTAAGAGTCTTTGGTTGTTTTTGAACCTCGCACTCTTTTCGAACTGAACCTTCTTTGCCTCCTAATTATAATGCGGTTAAATACACCTTTTGCAAGGAGACATTAGGCATTAAATTAAATCAGCTATTTCCGCTTTGATGAATCGCTTAGTAACACTTCAGTTATTGTGACTTAGAAACATTTAGACTTGTCGATTAAATCACGCTACAAATTATTTAAAAGAACCTTACCCAGAGGATGAATTTTAGATATACCGCATCCATTAGTATATGCGATAACTGAAGTAATTTATATAAGAAAACTTAAATATAAATTTAAAATTAAAAAAAAAAATTAGTTGCGGACACAAATTGCATATTTTATATAGCTTGAAGAATTTTAAATCTTATACTTACATACCGACATCTTAAGTGAATATAAAAATATAATATTTTGCATTTGCATATTTTATTTCTGAAATTAATATTAATTTAAATATTACAAATTTCAACCAATTTCAGTTATTTCAATTATTAACTATAATTAATAAAAATAAAGCTTAATGATATTCGAATTATCGGCTGCATTTTATTTTTTTTCAATGTATTTTACACAATTAGGTTTAAAGAAACTGCACTCAATGCTTAAATAGAAATATTACTCAATCATCAAATTAATACATTTTATTAAAAACATATGAAAAATAGATACTTTTATATGAAATGCAAAGGAGACATATTAGTAATGCAAATATTAATTACTGGACTATCACAAAGTAGGGTACTTAGCCCAGTCCTATATCGAATTTACACAACAGATATAAATAGAGTAACGAATTATTAGAGAAAACTATACAACTCACCTGTTTAAGGAGAAAGTAAGAAATACCATTAAAAATTGATTGTTTTAACATGAAAGGTATAATTCATCTACCTTGTCATCTTAGAATGACAATAGACTAAAAATTCAATCGAATTCAATTGAATTAAAGCGTTTCAAAGATAGGTGTAATTGTCCTGGTTGCTTGGATGAAGCACAAAATTTTAATTGCAAATAAATTATTAAACCTTAAAGTACATTTTGCGTCATAATGTAAGTCAACTAGCAAGTCTGACAAGTTAGTGATGCAATCCAAAATATTGGGAACTATAGTCAACGCCGTATGGTATGTTACAAAGAGTTCAACGAAGTTATGGAAGTACAACCTAAATTCAGTACAAGATATACCATATGATTAATTCTCTACTTAAATTATGACAATTATAGAAACAAAATTATCCAAAAGAAATTAAAACACCCCATGCCTACGAAGTTGATGAATGTCCCATAAATAACACTCATAAGTTTACCCTCTTAAATCTAATCAACTATATTCTCTAGACTATATTTTTGATATTATTGTAATTACTATGTTACGTTATAAATAGGTATGTATGTAATTATTGAATGTTGCTTGGATAATTACTTTTCTTTGGAAGTTAAATGAATTACCAAGTGCCAAAAAGGTAAATTTTTTTAAAAAAGCAAGAAAATTTATATTAATAATTATAATGATATTGAAATCTTATATAAATATATAAAAAATATATAAATGAATATATATATGAATTTTTTAAATAATAGAAATAATGAAATCCGAAACCTTTTTAATTAAATCAATTGATATTTCTGATAGATTTGCCAGCTTAAAAATGAATTTTAACTTTTCTATTATATTTTCTGAAAATGAAAACATCTATATAACATACGTATTTAAGTAATAAAAAATATCTTTTCATGCTAACACATATTTGTTATTTAACTAAAAACTGAGCCTAAAATGTAATTCATTACACACACTCGTATGGGATATGTAGGTGTGACTTTGTCTAATACTTGCAAAAATACCGATTAAAGGCAACTTCCACTATCTTACAAGGTTTATGGGTATATGACAATTTAAGATAGAAATTTATGAGGCGTGACGTTGTATTACAGTTGCTAAATAGGCTTCACTTTATTTCTCTGTGGCTAATGTGTAGGACTTTTACCAAAACTGCTTTCTGGTTAAATGATTGTAGGAGTGCTTGTTTTATTATCTGGCTTGTTTTTAAGTATTTTAACAGATTTATGAAGTGGTTAGGAGAATTGAGCTACTTTCATACATTAATATGTAAGATGTTTCATTTAATTGTCCATTTGATAAATTTTCCTGAATTTATGTTAGTAATTTGAAACAAATGTATCTAATATATGAATAAAAATGTTTGCAATTTCAGCTATTTTATGCATCAATTTACCAGATTTAGTAAGGTGATTACATATGCAACATAATTTCATATTCTTTACTTATCAAATTAAACATAAATTCATGTAAATAAAACATTTGGTTGGTTGGTTGGTTGCAGTGGCAGGTCATAAGATAACTTCAAATGTACCTCAATTAGCGATTTTTCGCCGTTTTGTTACCACATTCCTCGCAAGAACCCTAGTATAGAAGAGTAGAGACTAAATCCATCCCACCGAATTTAGGTAATTTAACAGGTCTTTCATCCTTACCATTGAGCAGTCTGATAAACTATCACAAAAGTATTTTCCTAAGAACCTATGTCTTCTGGATGCTAGAGCTGGGCATTCACAGAGAAAATGTATTATTGTTTCTTTCTCCCGCGGGTTTCCACAACTTCTGCAGTGAGAGTTATGGGAAATACGCAGTTTCTCTGCGTGAGTTCCTAACCACCAATGACCAGTAAGAACCGCAATAAGCCTTGCAGTGTTTACGCGATCTTTTTTGATGAGTTCCAGAGATTTATTTTTATTATAAGTGGGCCACGTTAACCTGGAAGTTGCACATGACCTTAGTGCTTTCCATCTGTTATTGGCGAGTTGCAGAAAGTAAAGAATGGTACTTCTTTTGATGGTCTCCAGGGTAATATAGACTGATACCGCCAGTGACGCATCTAGGGAGGCACCAGAGCGGGCTAAACTATCAGCTTTCTCATTCCCTACGATGTTCCTATGCCCAGGAACCCAGATGAGTGTGATATCGGCCAACCGGTTTAGCTCGTCGATTGCTTCTCTACATTCTTTTACTATTTTTGATTTTGTTATAAAGGATTCAAGAGCTTTAATTGTTGCCTGGCTGTCAATAAAAATAGCAACACTACATCTGTTCTCGATGTGGCTTGCAATTTGCCGACAGGCTTCTTTTATTGCTAGGATTTCAGCCTGAAAAACCGTAGCTTCATTAGGTATCCTAAGAGAGATATTTATATTTTTAGATGGTGCGAAGATTCCTGCTCCTGCCCCACTGCTCATTTTCGAGCCATCTGTATATATTGAGATATCGTAATTTGCTTCGAAATTTTTCCTTTTCCACTCATTTCTTGAAGGGAATATTGTCTGGAAGTTCCTTTCGAAGTCTATACACGGATTCAGATAATCCGATGTCATCCTATACAGACAATTTGGAACTGTACCTAGAATCCGACTATGTCCATATGTTCGTTCTAACCATACGCCTGTTACTTTCAGTCTTACAGCGCTATTACAAACCATGTTTTTAATGTGAAGATCAATAGGTAGCAAATGCAG